GGAGGGCCCTGGAGAAGGAAAGAGGAGAACTCATTCAGCAAGAGGAGGAGTTATGGAAGCAACGCTCTAGAATTGACTGGTTAAGAGGGGGTGATAAGAATACAAAATTCTTTCATGCTAAAGCTACTGCCAGACGAAAGAGGAACACTATCAAAATGTTGAGAAATGAGCAAGGCAGATTATTTAAGGGCCAAAAAGAAGTTTCTTCTTGCATTGTTGGGTACTACAAAGAGCTCTTCAAGAAAGGTACTCTCCCTAATTCAGATCTTGTTATTCAAGCTTTACAAAGGAAAGTTACCCCTTCTATGAATGATAAACTTCTTAGGGCTGTAACTGCTGAAGAAATTAAAGTTGCCCTTGATCAAATGGGGCCTTTTAAAGCTCCTGGTTCGGATGGCTTCTCTGCAGGTTTTTTCCAAAAGAACTGGAATATTATTGGTCCTAAAATGGTGGAGACTGTCCAAAATTTCTTCAATCAGGGGAGCCTTCCTGAGGATCTAAATCACACCCTCATAGCTCTCATTCCTAAGGTGAAAACTCCCTCTACTGCAAAGGATTTCAGGCCTATTAGTCTCTGCAGAGTGCCCTACAAAATCATTTCAAAAGTTCTGGCTAATAGACTTAAGCAAATTCTTGATGAGTTAATCTCTGAGGAACAAAGTGCCTTTGTCCCTGGTAGATTTATTACTGATAATGTGATCGTGGCTTTTGAATGTTTCCAGTATATGAAGAAAAGAGAGAATGCCAAGGATGGTTTCTTTGCTGCTAAACTCGACATGGCCAAGGCCTATGATCGGGTGGAATGGGATTTCTTGAAGAAGGTGATGTTAAAGCTTGGCTTTGAGGAAAAATGGGTTGATTTGGTTATGAAATGTGTGTCAACAGTTTCTTATTCAATTCTGGTCAATGGCCACAAGACTGTATGTTTTATACCCTCAAGGGGACTCAGGCAGGGTGATCCCATATCCCCTTACCTCTTCCTCCTATGTGCTGAAGGCCTCACTGCCCTTATTAAGAAAGCTGAATTGGAGGGTAAGATCCATGGTGTACAGATTAGGAAGAAGGCCCCCACCATTTCACATCTCCTGTTTGCTGATGATTGTGTTATTTTTGGAAAATCTACTCTCAAAGAATGTGACCAGCTTAAAGGAATTCTGGAGATATATGCTCAGGAATCTGGCCAGTTGATAAACCTCTCTAAATCGGAAATCTCTTTCAGTAAAAATGTGAGAATCAGTAGGAGGTTGGAAATCTGTGGTACTCTTGGGATTAAGGAAGTGGAAAAACACTCTAAATATCTGGGACTGCCTACTGTTGTGGGAAGATCTAAGAAGGCTATATTTGAAGAAATAAAAGAAAGAGTGCGAAAGAAGCTCAAAGACTGGAAGAGCAGAACTATGTCTCAGGCTGGAAAGGAGGTTCTTATTAAGGCTATTGCCCAAGCTCAATGCTTGTACCCTATGTCTGTTTTCCAGATCCCAGAAGGTATTCTAAATGAGATTCAGAAACTAATCTCTAACTTCTGGTGGGGTCAGAAGGGAAAAGAAACCAAGATCCACTGGATTGAGTGGGATGAGTTGTGTGACAGTAAAGAGGAAGGTGGTATGGGCTTCAGAGATCTCAAGGCCTTCAATATTGCAATGCTTGGAAAGCAAGTTTGGAATGTGCTAAGCAGACCTCACTCTCTCATGGCTAAAATTCTAAAGGCTCGTTACTTTCCCAAAACTGATATTTTACAGGCTAAACTAGGCTTCCAACCGAGCTACATCTGGAAAAGTATTTTCACGGCAAAAGAAATGATCACTGAGGGATTTAGATGGAGAGTTGGTAATGGTGAATCAATTAACATGGGGAGTGATGAATGGATCCCCGGAAAGAGTTTTTTCCAGCCTGATCCCATTCCTAACGGGATCCTACCTGAGGCCCCTGTGAGCTCCCTAATTGATGCTAGTACAGGGGGATGGGATGTGGAAAAGTTAAAGGAATTGTTCTCTGAGGAAGATCAGGTCCTTATTTCGAGAATCCCTCTCAGGTTCCCCCTCAAGCCTGACTCTAGAGTTTGGAAAGATTCAGAAAGAGGAATCTATTCAGTTAAGTCTGCATACACTCTCATTCGAAGCAAACAGCCAGGTCATCTATCTCGCACTCATTATCTTGACCCCGAAGACTCTAAAGTGTGGAAAACTATCTGGAATCTTCACATTCAGCCTAAGGTCCGACTCTTTCTATGGAAAGTGTGTAAGAACATCTTACCTGTGGGTGTTCAAGTCGAGGAATGGATGGATAAGGTCACTCCTGAGTGCCCATTTTGCAGTCTCCCCGAAACGCAGATGCATGCTCTCTATGACTGTGATTGGATTCGAAGAAGATGGCGAAACTGTGAGGAGAAGGATATTTTTGAAAGAGGTGAGGGGAAATCGAGTTTTGAGTGGATTAAAGAAATTCTGGAAGTCTTTACAGAAGACAGATTACAAAGGTTCTGCTCAATCTTATGGTACCTGTGGAAGGAGCGCTGCAACCACAAATTCAACAACCGGAAGTTGGATGAGGAGGAGATTATTCCTCGTGCTTTGGGATGGCTCTCGGCTTTCCTATCTGCTCAAGATTCCCCGTGCCCTGACTCCAGGAGCTCTTCGTTGGGTGATCGCTCGGACCAAGACAGCTGCTGGTCTCCGCCGCCGGAGGGCTTTTACAAACTGAATTCTGATGCGGGGGTGATTAAAGACCAAGGGATTGGCATGGGTTGCATTATTCGCGATTGGCGGGGAGATTTTGTGGGTGCGATGGCAAGAAGGGAAAGAGGGGTTTGTCGATCCATTGTAGCTGAGGCTAAGGCTTTGGCTATGGGCATGAGGGAGGCGAATCGGAGGGAACTCACCCCCTTGATCGTTGAAACTGACTGCCTGGTTTTGGTGAACCAATTGAAGAAAAATGAGGAAGATTGTACTGAGTTAGGTTTCTGGTGTGAGGAGCTGAAGTGTTTGGCTAGATCTAATATGTCTCTGTCGGGTAGAGAGGTTAAATGGGAGTTTAGGCCAAGAAAGGTTAATACTGTGGCCCACTGGTTAGCTCATATTGGGTTGGGGTGGGATCAGCAAGTGGTTTGGGTTGATAACCCTCCACTATCACTGAGATGTATGATTGAAACTGATAAGGGTCGTGGGCCCTAATTTACTAATGATATGAATCAGATTTCCAGTCAAAAAAAAAAAAAAAAAAAAAAAAAGTTGCGCAGCAGCTTTGCTATCTATTAATTCAATAACCCCAAACGAACCCAACACCACTAACTAAAGGCCCACCCACGGGCCCAACATATCCTCCCCTTAAACTGAAACATTCAAGTTTCGGTTTAACCTGGAAACAAACAGCAGCTTAAACTTCAGCAGGTGCACCTTTCTTTGAGAACTCAGGCTCTTCAATCACTCAAAGCTTCATCTTTAAATCTTCAAATACATCCAACTTTGAAGCCTTGTATGTTCCAGAACTCTCCCTAGCCAGAGACATTGTACAAAACAGAATGTAGCAACTATGAACTCTACTTCTGTGATTGATAAAGTGACCACTCGCTGCTTCTTCAAGGCCCATGACACTGCTCCTTCAGTCAAAACGAATACATATCTACTGTTTCTTCTCCTAACACATGAATCTCTTGCATAATCACCCATCAATCTCTTTGCTACTAACTTATGTAATCTTGTTGGCCTTTCCATATATCTACTGAGCATACTGACATACATTATGTCCAGTCTTTTTGCAGTGAGATACAACAGACTACCCAGTAGTTGCTTGTACAAAGTTGCTTCTACCAACACACCATCTCCTTCCAAGATCAATCCTTTTCCTTGGACCATAGGATTTCTCACCAAGTTACTTTCCATCATATGAAGCTTCTCCAGAACCTCTCTAGTTCGTTTCTTTTTGGAGATGAACACCCCTTGCTCACTTTGGTTGACATCAAAATGCAAAACAAGATAATTCATTTCAAAGTGAGCTTGCATCAAGCCTTTGGTGTTCTTAATCAAGTTTTGACTATAGTTAACATACATCAGCTCATCCACAAACAGACTAACGGTTAAGACACCAGATCCATTCTTCTTACCAAATAGTTTATGTTCATATGGACACCTAAGAAATCCAGCATGCAGAAAATACCTCTCAAGTTTGTTGTACCAAGCTGTTGGGGCATGTTTTAAACCGTACCAAACCTTCTTCAGTCATCTCCCCACATAAGAATACTCTTCTCACATCAAGCATAAACACATGCCACCCCTGACGAGATGATGGAGCTAAGAGAGTTCTTATAGTGTTCCACCAAGCTATTGAGGCGAACACTTTAGAGTAGTCAATTTTTGGTTGTTGTACATACCCCTTAACTACAAGGTTTGCTGTATATATGTCTTCTTCTCCATGCTCATCGAACTTGGTTATGGAAACCCATTTCATTCCAATTGGGTTGACATCAACTGGTAAGGTAGTCAACTCCCAAGTGTCATTTTTTATAATTGACCGCAATTCCAAGTTTATTGTAGTCCTCCATTTCTCTTCCATTGCTGCTCTTCGAAACAATTCCGATAATCAGCTCGAGTCATTAAAGAATAAAGATAACTAAGCTCCAAATGCCCGCATGATACAACCTGAATCCTTGGCCTTAGGCATGAAATAAGAAATCTCATCCCATGTGTGTCTTCTTTAACTTCTTTTGTGGAAGGAGTACCAACTAATGGTATCGATAGGGGTCCTATAGAACCAATTGAACTGCCTGGAGTGGTTGGAGCTTCGGTTAGGTCTATTATAGTGGTATTCTCCTCATTCTCCTCTGCGAATCAGATATATCATTTTCACAGCCCTCCAAAAGCAGCTTAGTTAGCATTGTCTTGGATTCTGAGTCCCAAGTACATCCTTGACCTTCATTATTTGTAACATCTCTACTTTCACCATTATTCGAAGCTGGGATAATAGAACCACACCAGTCATCATGGACTAAGCAAAGCTTCTTATTTGCTCTCCATTGACTTTTCTTAGGAACTGATTTTCTATGCTGCTCTTCAACTATGCAAGTTGAATGAACTTCAACAAACCCTTTAGGATTGGGGATACACTTCACTGTACCACTTCTCTTCTTTTTCATCAAACTTGTATGATTAAGATGATCAAATCCCCTGTACTTCAGATTTAAGACTCCTTCCTCAACTCTAATAGTCTGTAACCACTGAGGTTCCACCTTTGCTGCAGCAACATTACAATAGGGGGTTGAATTCAATACAAACATATTGTTAGTCTTCATTCTTGTTTGAAACAAGAAGCCTTTTACATCATGAAATATTTTGAAAATCTCATGTTTGATAAGAAAACATAAACCCTTTTTCTGCATTTGACCAATGCTTAACAGATTCATCGTCAAACCAGGAACATAGAGCACATCTTGGATGACCAGTGGAACTTGATCTACTTTGATTTTCACAGTTCCTTTGCCTTGAACCTCTAATCTTGTACCATTTCCCATTTTTAAAAAACAGGTAAATGCACTATCAATAGTAGAAAATCCCTCCTTATCACCACTCAAGTGATTGCTACACCCAGAATCTAGAAGCCATAAAGTCATAGATTCTCCTCTAGACTCCAAATAAGTCCTCAAAGCCTACATGCAACTGCTCATCACGTTTAGGTAAAACATGTATTTCCTCCTCTTCCAAATCAATTTCAGCCATAAGCAACACGTTTTCTTTCATGTCAGCTTGTCCTCCAGCATAGCCATTTGCATAGTGAGCTTGCTGGTTCTGCTCAAGGCACTCATATCTAAAGTGCCCTACCTTGTGGCATATGAAACATTCAATAGTCTTTCTATTCCAAGATCTGTCATGATGTCTACCTCTTCCTAGACAACTACCATGCCCCTGAGCCCTCCTGTTTCCATCATCAAAAGCTATCTTCAAAGCCTGGTCTTCCTCTCTTCTCCGTCTGCTTAATCTTTGCTCATGGACCAGTAGGGAGCTCTGTAATGCATCAACAGTCAAGGTATCTATGTCTTTTGATTCTTCAATAGAGCAAACTACATAGTTGAACCTTTCAGTAAGAGTTCTGAGAATCTTTTCCACTATTTTGACATCAGACATGTTTTCTCCATTGTTTCTCATGGAGTTGGAGACAACCATGACTCGGCCAAAATAGTCATTAACAGACTCGTCCTCCTTCATTTCCAGAGTTTCAAAGTCCCTTCGAAGGGATTGAAGTTGCACCGTCTGACCCTTTCACTGCCTTTGTACTTATTCCTCATTGATTCCCAAAGTTCCTTGGCAGTGGACTTCTGAGCAATGGTTTTTAGAATGGTCTTATCAATACTATTAAACAAATAATTCTTTACCTTGAAATTCTTCAACTTAGTCTCCTCTGGTGCCTTCAATTGATCCGCAGAAAGCTTTACTCCAGGTGAGGGCTCTTTATATCCTTCACACACAACGGTCCAATACTCTTTGGACCTCAACAGATTTTCCATAAGAAGACTCCAGTGATCATAGTCTCCATCAAACTTGGGAATGAACATTTGAGCAAAATCGCCCATGATTTCTTTGCTCACATACAGTACTTGGATTTCCTCACTGCCTCTCGTGTTTTTACTCACCAAACAAGAGACAAACAAAAACTCACCAAGAACTCTCAACTTTCCCACCCCAATCTCACACTCTCTTGATCTAGTTTTGCAGAGGCTCTGATACCACAATGTTGGATAATTAGCTGAGCAAAACCGATAATCTTATTGAATGAAATAAAGTTTACATAAGTACTGCAATCCCCAGCCAACAACTGCCATAAAACTCGGCCACTATCTCTACCTATACCCATGATTTAAGAAACTAAACTAAATGTTGCACAACAGCTTTACTTGCTCTAACAACCTAAGAAACCCAACTCAAGTTGCGTAGCAGCTTTGCTATCTATTAATTCAATAACCCTAAACGAAGCCAACACCACTAACTAAAGGTCCACCCACGGGCCCAACATTTTATTTATTTATTTAATAATAATAGTTATTAATAAGAATAATATTATTAATACTATTAATGGTTGCAGCACTTCGTACGTAATCCAACTGTTCATTAATTACGGTCGAACCTGAACCCAAATATCGGGGTGTTACAATACAAGTTGATTGGATGAATAGGTCCTTGATCAACATAATACCATTGGTTGTATATATATTCACGTCATCCCCAACCTACGAGAGAATAACAACAAGGTTAGTACATAGATTAATTAAAAAGGTTATAACAACAACAATAATTTGGTAAAATGAGTACGTACCGCTTGAAATTCATCATAATAAACTCCCTCTTCTTGGAACAACTCGTCCATTTTTTCGCGAAAGTCGGACAGAGATTCGGCGGGTTTTGAAGGAAAAACCAAAGAAAAGTTTTCTAATGGCAGATCGGACTTAGCCGCAACCAACAGACCACTATTTTCTAGGCTTTTGGGAGGGGAGGGGGATGGATAGAGATATAATTTTAGAGAGAGAGGGAAGAATGAGTTATGGTGTGAAAAAATGAGGAGGGGAGGGGGTATTTACACTTGCAGACCGCACCTTTCAGGGGCGGTTTAGTAATATTGCCCTTGCCAAAACCGCATCTGGAGGGTGCGGTTCATGTTTCACGAGGCGCAAAACACAGCAAGGAGGTGCGGTCTTCGATCCTCTACACGGATCGCTGAGTTGGTGTGCGGTCTGCCGTTGGATCGCCGCCTAATCCAACGGTCATGGGGGCCGCTGTGTCGGAAACACAAACTGCACTCTAATGATGTGTTTTTCTGGCTGACGTGGCAAGGACCGCACCTCCAATGTGCGTTTTATCTGAAAAATGCACCTTGGAGGTGCGGTTTAAAGGTGCTATTTTTGTAATTTCTATGGGTTGGATGCTATTTTTGTAATTTTTTTAAGGGTGCTATTATTGGAAAAATCCCAATAAATACGTGGTGAGCATATGTTGTCATGGGAAGGACAAACCGAACTCTTTGTGTTTGTAGTATATCATGTTGATATATACGCATGTCTAGACTAGATCAATTGTACATCTACACCTGGAATTTGACGAGATTTTTGCTCATCAAAACCACGTTGCAAGTAAGCTCTCTCCTTAATCTTTATATTTTTCTTAATCTGCACATGCACACCCTCATAAGAAACATGTACATAATTGTAATTTGGGTGCTTCATTAGTGTTGTTTCCACAGGATTGTATTATCTGAGGTGGTTGTTCTAGAATTGTGAATCGTGAATGTATCTGCCATAAGAAATTGTCATGTTAAGATTTAAAAGAGGCTAACCTAAGCTTCCTCTTTAATTTAGATGGTAAGAGAGCAACGACCCACGTCAAATGGATTGGGGGTTGACAATGACTGAGAAACAGTTTAGCCTTCTTTAGAGCATCATAAGATCCTGATAGTATCTCAATCAAAGAAATTTTTGTTTTCATGCCTGATGTTGATACAAGTTGTTTACCTAGAGGTGAGGTCCAACAAGTTAGCTCTTGGAGTTGCGATGCGAAAATAGGTAAGGCATAAATGGTTTATACAAAAGGCGATACTATGATCATATAGAATGCGTTGGTAGAGATAGTCATCGATCTCAATTTATTGACGAAGCCACCAAGGAGAAGAGAGCAATCGCCATGGTACTCTAAATTTTACAAGGCTATTATAATGATAATTTCTTTCATTTAACATAAATTTGTATTATGACTGAAGTGATATTACCCCAAACCATATATTGAAGCAAGGAATGTTCGTTTGAATTAATTTGTACTGATGTAAAATGCCATGTAGCTGCCATGAAGAAGGAGTAAGAGTGGACCAATCAGTGTGTTTGCTGTCGAGAAGGATAAGAATCGTGATAATGGAGAGGATTCATGACGATTGACTTATACAGATTGAAGAGATAGAAAGTACAGAGCTGTAAGTCATTTGTGTGTTTAGTGTAGCAGAGTGGTTAGGAGTGATTTGGTAGGATTTCACAATAGTAGGGATATTGACAAAAGTTATTATCTATTGGTGTTTCCAGGCATATATAGCTTGCCTGTTTCTTTTGTTTGTATACGATATTTCTACAGGAGATTGCATGCTTTGTATTTCTCTTTTTTTTAATTTCTGTCATTTAATTAACAAAACTATTTATCAGAAAAAACTGGCCGACGCATTCCATCGACTTGATTTGGAGATTATTGTTTTTGGTTTTCTCAGCCAGGGATTCATCGCCTTTGGTGTCACTGTGGTTTTTGGTCTAAGGGCAATCCAGATTGTGTTTTTCTTATGAAATATATTGGGGGCTTCCATTTTTACCATTGATAATTGGAGCCAGGTAAGAATTCCTTTGGTTTTTTCATGCTCACTCTAGGGGAATCATGGTGCATGACAATAGTGGCAATATTTAATGTTAATGGCTTGGTTTGGATTGTCGATTATGCGTTTATGTTTTACTGTTTCTTTTGTAATACAATGGGATAATGACTTTCCATCATATTATTATGGTGTTGTTGACCTACCTCCGGCCATCGCATACATGTTAACGGGTAATATCAGTTAGAATCAAAGAGTCAATTTCCGAGACTAGCCTAGGGGCCGGGTAATAATCTAGTGTACTTCTATGCCAGCCACTTAATCAATAAAAGCATGAATTTTTTCTATTTTTTTTGCGAGAGCTATTTGTGGAAAGGGAGAGCAGAGGGTGTAGTGATACATAGGGGTGTGTTCTTACATAAAAAATAGATAGGGGGTGTGCAATGGTCGGAACCAGACCATGAGAACTGCGGTCCATTAGTGAATGATATCTTAGGATCAAAGACCGGATCATTATTGTATTCGGTCTATTTTGTCTGATTTGGTCCGGTCAAAATATCAATTCGGTCCATATTTTCTTCACTAATTACAAAAATTTATAGGACCAAAAATTGGATCGCATTACACTCGGTTCGATAAGTTCTGATCCAAACACCAGTTTGGTCCAGTACGAACTGGACCATTACACACCCACTGATAAAGTGATTTGTGGAAAGGGATTTAGTAAGCAGGAAACCACAAAGAAAAATTTGTATAAACTATTTATATTCTTATTTTGGAAATCGGCGTAAACTGATTGTATCACGGTCGAACAATTCCATTTGTGAATTCGGCGCACCGATATAAACAAATTTGTCAATATTTTACATAAAGGTGTCAGTCAGTCGGGCGGGTTTGGGTTGGTTTCAATCGGGTTACGGGTTAGTCAGGTTGAGGGTCAATCGGGTCACAGGTCAAACGGGTTACAGGCTCTCTGTTTTTTATAGCTGGACCGAACGCTGAACCGGAAAAATTAGTGGTTTAGTCTTTAGAGGTTAACTGTTACAAAACCATTGATAATCGTTCATTACAACAAAACCCATAAATACCTGCTAAGAAAATTTGCCTCTGTAAATTCATTATTTTCCTTCGTATATATTTGGAGGCAGATAATACATTTACATCAAATACTCCAATGGCTATAGCCCAACAGAGGAAAATATAGAGACATATATTATCTTCTACTGATTAAAGATTCTGCAACTAATATTTGTGCGGCTAAATGTAACTTTTATTTTGCCTTCACATCCTCTATTGGAGGCATAAATATTTGCCTACAACATAAATATTAGAGGCATATACTTCTATCCTCGAAATTAGTGTGCAGCTAATAGATATGCCATTAATGAGTTGGTACGATATAATTATCTCCCTCTGATATTTCCTTTAGATGCAGATAGCTTGTAAAAGTAATTTATTGAGACTAATACATGTGCCTTTGAATAACCTTTTTGAGGCATAACTTTGTGCCTCTATGACTCGTCCAGAATATCACAATAAAACTCCCAATCAAGGTCCAAGTATACATCACAATTGAGTGCAATATAGGGCAAATATGTTTAAATGTCGACCCGATCCGGTTCATGTACCTCTATTTTGATTGTTTGTAAAATTATTTAGCAAATGGTTTTGTTGGTGAAAATAACGATCTATGGCTAAAACGTTTGGAGAAGTAATGGATTTGACACTAATTGTGAAGGCTTCACGTGGGTGTTGCTCCCCCTAGCTAACAATTATGACTTGTCGGATTGAATGGTCACGTGTGATAAGGTGGTTGTAAACCGTAAGGAAGTGGAATAAGTAGCCAAATGCCACTCTCTCGGTCTCTAGGTCAAGGGAATTCGATTCAAACCACCAAAGTAGCTCTCTTGACCTATTGACTAAGGGTTTCCAAGACTACACTCTCGAATTGGAGTTCGGACGACCTGATTACAACGAACCCCTATGTGCTAATACGAATAAAAAGGGTTGCCCTACATTAATCAAGATAGGAGACAAGATTTTCCTAAGAAAACCTAGCTTTACAAGCCTCTTTCAAAGAAAAGGATTTTTCTCTATACCTAGGTTAGAATGGCCAATAGATTCATAGGCAAACACACAACACAATCTTTCATGAAAATACCTCCAAATTCACATTAAGACACATCCACACACTAATCATTCTATCCATACAACCATTCACATAATTGTAGCTAGGGTTTACAAATACCAAAGTGAAAGAAGGGACTACTCCACGCTATGAGAAGGGAAAACCCAAGAGAGAAGAAGGAAAAACATCATGGAGATGCTAGCTTTGCTCCTTGTGTTGAAGAGATCCTCCTTTGGGGGAGGAATTCCCAAATCCATGCTTAAATATGAAACCCTAGCTTCTTCTCTT